TTTGGCCATGGATTGGAAAGATCCAGAGTCTTCGGCAGCACGCTCGTCGACGTAGATCGTGAGTGCCGGGGGGGGGGGGGTAGGTATGAGGCGGTTATCGTGGGGCGCTTTCACGTTAGTCCGCCCGGTTTGGTCTCTTAGGTAGACGGGCAGTGTGGTGGTTTGGTTGTTTGCCAGTGTGATTGCGTGGATGGAGCGCCGTTTTGTTTTTATTTTTGTAGTTGTGTACTGTCACACGTCGCCCATGGCGGCGCATTCATGTCATAGCCGACCGCGGGGGTGGTCGGAAACTTTGTCGATTCCTTATGTCTTTGCGTAACATATGCAGTTGTGAATGAAGGCCATGAAATCAATGGCACCTTTTGACAAATCCCTTAACAACATCAACGGAGTCCACGTGTGCGATTGTGTGTGCGTGGTTCACAGTGTTTTCTCTCAAACAATGGAAACGACCTGCGAGATTTTATGATTTTTGTTGTTGTTGTTGTTGTTGTTGTTGTTGTTGTTGTTGTTTTGTTTTCTTTTAATCGCAATTGTCCTCTCTCTCGACAGAAAGGGTTTCGTTGCAGGCTTGATTGATTGTCTCATCGACTGTTCAGTTGATCGACTGCTCTATTGATGGGTTGATCGGTTTATCGATGCAATGACTGATCGATTGATTGATTGGTCGATCGATCGATCGATCGATTGTTTGATTGATTAGATTGATTGATTGATTTGTTGATTGATTGATTGATTGATTGATTGGTTGGTTGATCGATTCATAGATTGATTGATTTATTGTGATTGATTGATTGCTGGATTGATTGAGTGATTGCTCGATTGTTCAATTCATTGATTGATTGATTGATTGATTGATTGATTGATTGAATGCTCAAATGCTTGAATGACTGATGGATTAATCGAGTGGGTGGTTGATCGATTGATCCGGTGATCAAATGTTTGAGCGATCGATTGATTGGTTGATTGATTGATCGATTGATTGATTGATTGTCCAGTCGAAGGAATGTCGTTATGGTGTACTAATCAAAACATATATCGATCAGAAGGTTTGTTGCGCTGCAGAATTGCGGCCGACGGAGAAACAAAATGCGCATTTCAACAAGAATGACCAAAATCGTGAGCAATTCAAGCATTCCATGTGTGTATGCTCGGGAAATAAACAAACACATGCAGATGACATTGAACAAAAAAATTCCCACGACACAACTTCGAACCGTGAAGAAAAATCGTTGAAGGTGCGACAAAAGGACATGCAAGGAGACGTACATGTATAAATCACATAACAAAGGCGATACCGCTGTCCACATAAAGATCGTGATGGAGCACCGCTCCCTCGCTCTTCCAATGTTCGAAAACAAAAAAAAACTAATGCCAAGAAAAGAGGATTAAAAACAAAAGTATATTAAAAAAAAATCAGAAAACAAATGCAGGGAGCCGGCCAGCAATCACACTGCACGACACTGGCACCGGAGCACTACAACACCCGTCGAGTCCCGAACATTACCACGTTCGCCCTCCGTAAGAGATCGACGCACAAGCTACTGCCGTGGGGAAACTTCACGCGTTCACTCGTGCTTCATACTTTCCGCCAGGGCCAACGCACGAGGACGATTGAATTTCTCCGCAATGGGGTGGGGAGGTTGATTCACGCCCAAGTCCACTCGCCAGCGCACGCCATTCGTTTTCACTTCCCACAGCAAGTTCTCGTCGAAGTTTATGTCGACATCGAGGAGGATGTTGTGCAGAATGCACACTGCGTGGAAATGTTGCGGGAGAGTGTCCATATTCGTTTTGTATGAACGGAGGAAGAGCCGCCGCATCCCCTTCAAGCTTATGAAAGCTCTCTCCACTGCTCCTCTGGCGACCTTCTGCTTGTTGTCGAACCTCTCCTCGTCGGGGCATTGATCGGTCCTTCCGTAAGGCACGACGATCCACTCTATAGGAGGATAGCCGTTATCCCCGAGGATGTACCCGTGTGTCTTCAACCCGAACGACAACACCACGACAGGTCCACGGAAAAGATCCCCCTCTTCTGCACGCGCCCACAGACTGGAAAGCTGAAGCACTCGAATGTTGTGGCAGCTCCCGGGATACCCGACGAAAACGTCTGTGACACGTAATTCCAAGTCCACCACCACCTACGCAACAACCGAAAAATGATGCTTCCGGTCAATGTAGTTCTTGGAAGGTGCATTCACCGGTTTGTCGACATATATGTGCGTGCAGTCTATGCAACCATAGCAGTTGGGGAAACCCTTGGCCTCGAAGGTGCACAGAACGACCACCCGCCGCAACCTGGAAGGCCAAAGGATCTTCTCCCGCTACACCCTGAGAAGCGCCCGAGTTACGTCCTCCACCGCAATCAAGCCTGATGCGTGTCCTATGGTGAATGACGATGTGCTGCTCTCGTACGTCTCAGTACTCGCCCAACGATAAAGCGCCTATGCGATAATGTGATCCGACATCAAAGGCACCCTGTAGAATGTCACCCTCTGCTGCAGATGAGGGGACAACGCCTCCACGATCGCCCGGAATTCATTCGTAATCGGCCCGTCCGCCGCATCGTCCATCTTCCGGAGATCCTCCCATGTCCCTCTCGTCCTTCTCCTCATCCACCACCTTGGAGTCGCTCGCGGGATCACATCGGACGCCATGGCGCAGCAAAATTGCACAATGGATTCTGATAACGACACACAATCAGGAGCCTCCATCACTTGTTGCATGAGCTGACGCTGCCTGCGAATGGACAACCTCATCTTCAGGCGAGCTGTGGTTCTCTGTGTGCGATATCGCATGGTGACTATCGACACAGCTGCAACCACCACATTTCTCTCGAAAGCCGTCAACGTATTCGCACGACCCCGCAGCTCTCTCCCTCCATCTTAACGACGCGCAATGCGTGGGTCAGGTGGCAGGTTGGGGGGTTGTGTCGCTTGCAGGGGTGCCATTAAAGGCCGACTGGCGGGGTCATAGGGGTCCAAGGGGGGTGTGGGGGTGTAAATTTTTTTTTTTTTTTTTTTTCGTTTTCAGTGTTTGGGCGCGTAGGGTCACATGTCCGAAGCCCAAAGCGCCGGTTCCGTTTTTCAAAATTCAACGGGACACCCCCGTTTTTGCGTTCAACGGGATTCAACGGGATTCAACGGGGGTCCCCGGGCCTGTTAAACGGGTTTAAGCGTTCAATTTTTTGTCCGCTCTCCGTTCATCGGACACACAGGCCGTTACAGTTGGCATAAGCGGTAGATCGGTAATAACGGAGAAGCACCAGGTTGGGACCCGACCACCACACGCGTTGCCCTCCAGGTGGTAGGAAACTCACCGGCTTGAGGGTTGAGGACAACCGCGTTTCTCCTTCATTCAAGGGGGATGGAGAGGATAGCGATGGGGTTAGGAGTTCACTGTGGTAACTCACCGCCGTACGACAGCGCAGACGAAACAGTGCAGCAGCGCTTCACCGCAAGAGCGCACGTAGGTCCCCCTCTTCCAGTTATCTTTTCTACTTTGTTCTTTTCTCGTTCCGTCTGAAGAAAGTAACATCAGAAAGCTAGGTGTACCTTTCGTCACCCAAATAGAACGCCCGGTCATTATAGCTGTGTTTGGTGCAATTTTCAGTCCAGGTACACCAATAATTACCTGGCGCTCTATTTGGGTGTAGACAGTAGCACTGCTAGTAAGTAGGCCCTAAAAATTCAGCTAGGCTCCCTCCCCCCCCCATCTGCCTCCCTCCCATCCACCGCCTCCTCCTCCGCCCGAGGGCCAAGTGCCACTAGCAGCGGTGCGTTTCCTCAACGCCCGAATCTGGACGTGTTTGTCGTGATGTGCAGAAATAGCGTCGAGTTTCCGGTCTGATACAGTCAAAATGAGGGTGCGTTGTGTTCGGGGGAAGACGGTAGTGGGACTTGGCCCCGGGGCGGGGGTCCCTCGAGCAATGAGGATTGGATTGAACGTCTGACGCTGGACATGTTTGTGGAGAGGTGCAGAGAATGGCAATTTTTTAATCTGCTTTTCTGCATCTCTGCGTAAAGCACGTCCAGATTCAGGCTGTTAATCCGATCCTCTT